GAACTCCTGACCTTGAGCGATCCACCCGCCTCGGCCTCCCAGAGTGCTAGGATTACAGGCATGAGCCACTGCGCCCGGCCAATTTTTTTTTTTTTTTTTTTAAAGAGATGAAGTCTGGCTATGTTGCCTAAGCTGGTCGCCAACTCCTAGGCTCAAGTGATTCTCTCACCTCAGCCTCCCGAGTAACTACTTAAATACTTAGTTTTGATTGTTGTAAAAGGCATATTCTTGGGTCCCAATGACTTGAATTTTAAACATCCATACAAATGCAATTTTATTCAAGTATCTTAAATTTTATTGAAATACTTCAAAAGCATGGCCTATTTGCTTATATCATGGCCTCAAAATCACAAAGGCACAATCCACTCACAGTGTTAATAATAGATACCTCCCAACAACAACAAAAACCCCTCTAGGCTAGGTATATGGCACTGCCAACCAACGCTGGGTTAGTGCCAAAAGAAGAGGAGTGAACAGTATTATGGGACAGCTTGTTCATCAGTTGAACAGGCAAGGGAGTTTTATGTTTCATTTCAGTAAAAGACTTATTTCTTTTTTTTAAATAAAAAGATGTGGTCTTGCTCTGTCGCTCAGGAAGGAGTGCAGTGGCTATTCACAGGTGTGATCATAGCGCACTGCAGCCTAGAACTCCTGGCCTCAAGTCATCTTCCCGCCTCCGCCTCTTGAGGGGCTGGGACTACAGGTGTGTGCCACTAAGTTTAGCTTTAATCTCATTTTTTCCCATCTTATAGAATCACTGCCCCAATATTATGATACTTGTGTTACAAGGATTAGAATTTTAAAAACAGAGATACCTTAATAAGCCCTGCTTCAGACCCATCTCGGTCAAAGGTCTGACGGGCTTTAGCTATGGCCAGGATGACCCCTTGCATGGCAGGGCTCAGCATCACCTACCACAAGAGGACACAAAACAGAGAGAAAGAGGAGAGAAGAAGGTTCAAAAGAAGACTGTATGAAACCAAGCTGAAAAGAGGGCTGCAGGGAAGCACAGCAGTGTGCCCTGGGGCCAGCATCTAACGCAAGTCAAGCCTCTCACACCCATTCCTAAATGCATGCATGGCCTCTGTCCCTCCACATAATGTCAACACCTCACCCGAGACAAGCTATTCCTATACCATACGTTCTCTCGAATTTAGCAGGATGAAGAAAGATGCATGTCCAAAATTACCTCCAATAGGGCACTGCTGAAGAATGAAGTTAAATGGTAGCTCTCAGAGGGGAAGTGTCTGAGATTTTAGACAAATATTTTAGAATTGCTGCTAGGATGAACAGTACATTTAAAATAGTCTGGAAACTAGGGGCTATACAAGTATGACACTATAAAATGAAAACCTTTCCATGATTTAAAAAAAAAAATATGCCACAGGACAGAAGGGAAGTCTGAGAGACAGAATTCACTGTTTATGTGCAGTGCAACTGAAAATGAGGCAGACAATGAATAACTTGGGATTCTACAGCTTCTTCATAGAGCGTCAGAACTAAAAACCACAACATTAATCCACATTTGTTTTGTTCACTGGACAACTGAAAAATTTATATTTGGAGAAAAAATAATGTACTAATATCAAAAACAAAGATTCCCTACTTAAAATTAGAAGGCAATTTTTTGTTCGTAAATACCCAAAAAAGGAACTAAATGCTACCTCTCTGAGCCAGCTAGACTCTGCAGTGGCCCCCACAAGTACAAGCTTAGAGCAGTGCACAGCAGGAATATAACTACCTTTTAAGAATGGTAACTAAGGTCAAAACCAGATAGACCTTGTCAATTATCTGTTTCAATGAGAAAATATTAGCTATTCCCAGACACGTTAAAAAAATGTATGCATTCAGTCACTTGAGAAGGAAATGTAAGACTGACAACAAACAGCTAAATCCTGCACTCATCTCTGTACCTCCTCATCATATCCATTTGCATCAGATCTAACCAGAATCCTTCCCACACTGGGAATCTCGACTTCAGAGACCTCAGAATTAGGCTGGGCAGTAGACTCTGCATCGTTAGCCTTTTGGGGCTGTTCTGACTGCTCTGCAAGGTTTGTTTCCTGGGGCATGGGCTTCTTGGGTTCAGCTTCCTTAAGCTGTGGTAGCAGAATAGGAGAAGAGCAAGGAAAAACAGGAGAAATAAAGAGGGGTTGGTTAAATGCAGGAAAGACACAGAATAATAGAAATGTGAGAAAAATGGCAATGACTGCTGAAAGCCCAACCCTCCTGAACTTGGGTTTCTCAGTCATTCTCACCTCACTCAGTGCTGCTTCCACACCGCTCTTCTCGTAGGCACGGGCTGTGTTTGCAATAGCCTGGGCGGTCTGCTCCTTTACAATCACAGCATGCTCAGACGACAGGCAGCGAACCCCGTGAGAGGGGGCTACTGAAGATTCTGGTGAAGAACGGTACAAAGGTACTAGCATCTGATGATAAATAGTCTAGAAGACTGACAAAAGCAAGCTGGATGGATACACAATCCTTCTAACACAGCTTCTTAAAAAGCCTATGCAAATTTCTCCTAGAAACTAGTGACTACAAGAAATGGTAGTTACTTCAGAAAGAACCCATTGGTAATTTTATCAAATTTATTGTGCCCCCAACTTTGTCAGATTTCTTTATGCCAAGAAGGTTTCCTATAATAACCATCTGTTGTTAGGAACTTTGGAGAATAGTTTTCATAAAGTCTATCTATTAATCCTACCATAGCTCCTCCTACAGCCTGGTAAATAAGCAGAACTACATATACATTGAATGTACAGATAGCTAGTCTTTCTGATTATTACTTCTTATCAGAAATCACATTCTAAAGCCACAATTTACTCTATCAGGTTGTGCCTGCCATACCAACTATATCTGAAGACACAGGAAGTATGTGTGTGTGTGTGTGTGTGTGTGTGTGTGTGTGTGTGCGCGCGCGCGCACGCGCACGGGCACACACACACACATACGCTGCGAAGATCGGCATCAGTTTGTCAGCTGAAGCGTGCAGGGCTGGCTGGGGGACTGCAGCATGAATGTTACTAGATCGCTGGCATAAATGCCCTTCTCACATACCTTGTGACGTAGAGAAATCCTGGGAGGAAGAGTTGGTAGAAGATTCCATCTGAGGGATTTTGCAAGACTGCTCTTCTTCCCACTCCTCTACTTCCTGCTCAAACCGCCAGTTATCTTCCTGAATGTAATGCTTCAGTTCCACTGACAGGGATTCCACTTCTGACATTTGATCTGATTCGTTAGGGGCTGCCTCTAGGAAAGACAGAGTTAAATGGAGTACCATCCAGCAAAAGGTCACTAGGAACCAAAATGTCCTTTCTAGAAAACAAGAAAGCAGGACATTTCATCTTTTTTCCTATTCTTAACTAAAAATATATATACAAATAATCCATCAGAAATCCATTTGAATATCCCTTATCCAAAAAGCTTGGAATCAGAAGCGTTTTGGGTTTCATATTTTTTCAGACTTTGGAATATCATACTTACCAGCTGAGCATCCCAAATTCAAAATTCCAAAATCCAAACCTGAAATACTCCAATGAGCATTCCCTTTGAGCACAATGTCAACACTTACAAAGTTTTGGATTTTAAACATTTCGGATTTTGGATTTTCAGATTTGGGATGCTCAACCTGTACTGACAATATAAGGCCAACAGTGACAGCACATCAGTAAGAGTACCTGGCTTATTAGGTATGCACTCATTAAACATCTGTTAAATGAACAAATAAATGAATGAATGACACAGAGTTAAGCATTTGGAATGGTGGTCAATCACTGTCAACCACCAGATGTACCTAACATTTCTCGGAAATATAGAAAATTATTAGATCCAATGGAAATTTTCAAACTTGTTTTACCAATTTAACTGTTGCACCTATTATTGATAAGAATGGCCATTTCAAGAAGGTTAGAGATGAATTTCAATACATTTATACTGTCTCAAGTTTCACAAAATTAAGTGCTATCAGAAAGCAATTTGATACAAGGGTTACATGGTCAATAATATAATAACTGGCTTTAATGGCAAGGATATCAAGGACATACTAAATATCATTTCTAACCCTGTGACCAAAATGACAAAAAAATCTATAGCAGAACAACACATTCACTTACTGGTTGCCATTAACTAGCCTTTTCACTAAGCAAATGAGTTTCCACTTGCTTGTTTCTATAATATAAATGAACCATGCATGCAATAACAGGGCTCCTATATACTATCAACAGCTAGTACAATCATTTGGACTGTAACTCCCACATGCAGCCATTCATGCCTGCATACTATAAATATACAATTTTGAAGATCAGTGACTATTAAGTGGTCATTCTCTCCATTCCCTATCCCCCAATCACATTAGCATATCAGAAAGATAGTGTGCTGCCTGGACAAAATGCCTTACATGTTTTCTTACTTGTGCAATGCAGTAACACTTGAATACTAAAAGAAAAAGCCTTCTATTATCTGACATGTAAAATGCTGGTCATAAGACCTCTCACAGAAGATGCAAAAGGAAGACAGAATAATACAAATTGTAAACAGCACAGAATTTGGAGTCAGAACTGGATTCAAATCTTGGGCCTGCCATTTATGTACTGGCTGTATAATTATGGAACCTCTTGGAGCCTGTTATGCAGCTAGAAAATGAAGATAGTAATTTCTACCTAGCCTACCTCCCTTTTAGAGTTATTAGAGAAATAAAGTTTGAAACCATGCAGGAAGGAGTAAAGTACCAATATAAATGATAACTATGGGCCAAGCGTGGTGGCTCACGCCTGTAATCCTAGCTCTCTGGGAGGCCAAGGCGGGAGGATTGTTTGAGCTCAGGAGTTCGAAACCAGCCGGAGCAAGAGCGAGACCCCGTCTCTACTAAAAATAGAAAGAAATTAATCGGACAACTAAAAATATATAGAAAAAATAGCCGGGCATGGTGGCACATGCCTGTAGTCCCAGCTACTCGGGAGGCTGAGGCAGGAGGATCGCTTGAGCCCAGGAGTTTGAGGTTGCTGTAAGGATGACGCCATGGCACTCTAGTCTGGGCAACACAGTGAGACTCTGTCTCAAAAAAAATAAATAAATAAATGATAACTATTATTGCTCTTAGCATAAGTAGTAGTATTATGAGAAGTATGAAACTGTTCAGGCATATATACTTTTAAAATTTAGCTATTCTCCAATGGGTACAAAAATGTGTATACAATGATGTTACCAAAATAGGAAAAAACTAGAGACAATTAAAAATCTATCAAGGTTGAGCTAACGGCTCACACCTGTAATCTCAGCATTTTGGGAGGCTGAGGCAGGAGGATTGCTTGAGTCCAGGAGTTCAAGACCACTCCGGGCAACACAGCAAGACCCCCATCTCTACAAAAAATGTCAAAATTAGCCAGGTGTGGTACCATGTGCCTGTGGCCTCAGGTACTGGGGAGGCCGAGGCAGGAAGATTGCTTGAGCCCAGGAGTTCCAGGTTTCAGTGAGCTATGATGGCACCACCACACTCTAGCCTGGGCCACAGAGTGAGATCTTATCTCTTAAAAAAAAAAAAAAAAAAAGAGTCTATCAATGGGAGGCTGGTTAAATGAATAATATATATAAAAATATACATATTATATAATATATATATTCCATGTAATGAACTACTATGCAGTTATTAAAAAGAATAGGTTCTATTTATAAAGATCTCTAAATACTCAATAACAAAGGTATAGAATTGAATGAAAAAACATCCCATTTGGGGGAAAAAAGAAGGGAGAGATACAGATAAATAAAATCTAGCATATATATGTATAGAATATTTCTTGAAGACTACATAAGAAACCTAACAGTATATACTTGTTGAGGAGTAGGACCAGTGGTCAAGGATGCAAGAAGGAAAGCAAACTTGTTTTTCCTTTTTAATCCCTTTTATACTATTTATATTTTTTAAATGCATTATTACATAATAATTATATAGTTTACATTTCTTAAAAAGAAGTACAATACTGTTTCCTTCCCTGGGTAGAACAGATTTCCCCCATCTCTGGGTTCTGCTAAGGTATTTTTACCTGCATTGAAGTGGGGTAGTTTATCATTAATATATATCAGACAGTAGGCACTAACATTTCTCAGGCCCCCATAGGAATCTCTTTCAAGTTCTTCCCAGGAAGATTCAGTAACAGAGATGTCATTGTACTTGAGCCAGATTTGTCGGGGCTGATTATAGATATAGGCCCAGTAGTGTCCAGCATTTGCTTGTCCTTCATGAACAAGAACTGCATGCAAGCGATAAGGCACCTGCAAATCAGAAAGTAACATCTTCAGTCGGGTTAAGCAAAGTAATCTGATCGAGTTTAGGTTATTACAAAATGATGATTTATACATGTGTTTAACATGGGGTTCATATCACAACATCCTATTGATTCAAGATGAACTGACAAAACACAGCCTTGGAATCTATCAATTATGTCTCAGTTCCCAAATCTTTAAGACCAGACAGTTTTACTTAATGACCTCTCTGAAGACTCTTTCAACTTGAAACTCCCATGATTATAGATCTAAAGCCAAAGATAACCTAAACCCGTATCCTTCCAACTCAAAACTCAGTTCATCTAAAAGTAGAATCACTTGACCACTCACACTGAAAAAAATGTTTACCATATTTGGGACCCGAGAACAAGGTGAACAGCTATCTTGTTCTATGCCTGTTTCTCTGGGACCAAAATTTAAGTTAGCATATTTCATGCAGTCACATGCTCCTTGTATTTCTTGTGAGTCATCATCCACCTATCTGGAGTGAAGACTCTTTTCATTACATACGTGTTTGTTTCAACATTTGAAAAGCATGCTTTTTTCCAATATGGAAAAAATAGAGCAATGCTGAAGTGATAAGTAAGTGAAAGTTACAAAAGCCAGTCACAGAATCAAATTAAACTTACACTTACTATCAATACCTTGACCTGTTTTTACTGCTGGTGAAGATTTTTCAAATAACACAAAAGAGAACACGGAGAAACCCAAGATTTACCTGGTACGTTCCTATTATGCAATTGTGCCTCAATGCCTCTCTATGAACAGCATTCAACTCGTTCTGTCCATTCACACAGAAGCCACTGCGAGGCCCCTGAACGGAGGCTCTTTTCCCCTTAATGCCCGGAATGTTACTCTAAACAAAATTTATGTCCATGGTAAGAATTTCTGCCCTAACTCCCTTTTCGAGTTAGAAGTTATAGAAATAAAGCTTTCTGAAAGCAGGCTGTGAAAGGAAAGATCTCAAAGAATCATGGTACTTAGTGAAAGGACAGATAACTGGACCCTGGTTCAGTGTTCCCCACTGCACTATTTAAATTATCATTTTGTGAGTAATTTGTTTTTCTTTTTACATCCCCTCCAATTTGATAATTGTGAGTAATTTTTATTATTATTTTCTTTTTGTATCTACCAGTAGCACATGCTTTGACTATTTTTCCATCAATTTCCATTCTACCTGACGAAGGAGAGGGTCACAGTACATCTGCTCAATAGTCTGGGTAGTGCTTGCAATACAATTCTTTAAATCTGTTAAAAAAAAAAAAAAGACAACACTTCTTTACAATGATCTTATTCCATATCACAGAGGCTGCGTCAACTAAGCAAAGAGTATTGCTTATCTATGCCCAGGGTTCTAATGATTTTAACTTCCCTCTATGAAACAAGAAGTAGAGCTAGTGCTTTAAGTTCTGAAGGCTTTTGGTTTGATATTATTACATTAAGGTTTTAAAAAATTGTCTTTTATAATTGGCACTAAAATTTATTAAAGAGGAAAAACTGTCTCTATTTAGGAAGAGAGCTTAATGGGTCACTTGCATATAAAATACATGTCCCAGAGAAAAGATCTGAAATGAGGAGACATAATAAAGGGTCGGGGTAAATTTCTCTGAATAAAAACTTGAGAGAACTTGGAATTTTATTTGTCTTTTTGCTCCCTAGATAAAAGCCGAAGGGAAGGGGAGAAAGGATAGTCTGAGCAATATGGCAACGAGGCCAAAGGACTTTTAAGAATAGGATGCTGAATAATTCGATTTTACATTGCATCATTCTCCACCTCATTCGCCTTCAGTAAAGTATGCTTCATGCAGAAAAGACAGGTAGAAATCCAGGAAAGCCAAATTCTTAAGTTTGGGTCAACTGAAGCCAAAGTTCAGATAAACTACTACAGAAATGACATCAGCACACCGCAGAAAAATCCCAACAACGGTAATCGTAAGTGCCTAAGCTTCTAGGAATTCCCAGAAATTTTGAGGAGGGAATCTAGGAGGGATCTTCTACAGCTGTATAATGGGAGTATGAACTAAGCTTACAGGGCACTAAAAGAGCAAAAAAAGGCTGGGCACAGTGGCTCATACTTGTAATCCCAGCACTTTGGGAGGCCAAGGAGGGAGAATTGCTTGAGGTAAGGAGTTTGAGACCAGCCTGAGCAAGAGTGAGACACCGTCTCTATAAAAAATAGAAAAATCAGCCAGGCATGGTGGCACACGCCTATAGCCCCAGCTACTCGGGAAGCTGAGGCAGGAGGATAGCTTGAGCCCAGGAGTTTGAGGTTGCTGTGAGCTAGGCTGACGCCACTGCACTCCAGCCCAGGCAACAATGCGAGAGCATGTCTCAGGAAAAAAAAAAAAAAATGCAAATGGAGTCACAATGTCCACGCCAAAATTAAACAGTGTGTGCAGCAATGGCAGGAAGTATACCCAAGGTGCCTTAGTCCCAAATATTCAAATAAACAGAAAAGGTAAAGAGTAACTATCTGACAAGTTTTAAAAGAGTCAACCTTGTATATCTTGTTCAATCTCACTCCTCCACCTCTGAAGACAGGTCTTAACAAAGTTTATCTCCTCGTCCGTGACTTTTCGAGGAGCTGGGTGTGTAGGCATTTTTTCCATGGAAGACCGGGAAGATACAAGTGGCTTAGACTTGTGTGGAGAATCTTCAGAAGAAAAGCTGCTTTCAACATCCTGAGAAGAGCTTTCTGTGCTTCCACTGTAGGAAGACAAAAGTCATGTTCATATGATAATTTCCAAAAGATACCTTGGCCTAAATTAACGTGCCTTGGAAAGCAAGCTGCTATATGGAAAAGTACAGCTATTCTTCAGTGAGTATTAATTCTGCAAAATTATTGAGCCAAACTTCTTTATATGCATCAGCTCATTTAAGACAACTTGTTTATCAGACAGATACTATTATTATCCCTATGTTACCAATTATGAACCTAAGGTTTAAAGAAATTAAGCAACGTGCCCAAGTTCACCCAGCCAGCAGGTGATACAAAGGGACTTAAACCCAGATCTGCCTGAGTCTTCAGTTCGTGCTGTCTAATCAGTGATTATAATGCTTTCTCATGAAGAGGGGAAGAGAAGGAAGATGGAAAAGAGAAGGCTGGGACTGGAACAATCAAGGAATCAAGTTCCCAAGATGCAACTGAATAAAGTGAGACTATCCAGGAACAAGATACACAAAAGCAAGAAAAATGAAGCATCAGCTGAACATTCAACTCAAAGGGGTGTGCACCAGGTGGCACCTTGGGAGAGTTCAGAGAGCAGGGCTTCAAGTCAGACAATCCCAGCACTACCATTCCTGAGCTAAATAGCCAAGGAAAAGGGATTATTAGCCTCTGCTAAGTAATCTAATACCTCATTTACAAAATGTAAATATTAACTTCTTTACATCATTGCTGTAAACTAACAGAATAAAGTACGTAAAGCAAATGTTAATTTACCTACGAATTCTGTGGTCCCCAACACCCGGGCTGGCCACAGCTGGTTAGGAACGTAGCTGCACATCACCTGGGACATGACCTGAGCTCCTCCTCCTCCCACCCCACCCCATCCGCGGAAAAACTGTCTTCCATGAAACCAGTCCTTGGTGCCAGAAAGGCTGGGGACTGCTGTACTAATCAACTATTGTCAGAGTAAAACCACACATACACAAACCAGCAAGAATATAAAATAAGCTTCTAATTGTACTTAGGTTTCCATTTCACATCAAAATTGAAGAACATAAATTTCCTTTAGCTTTGACTTAAAAGAAATCCTCCCCACTCCATGCACAAAATAATGGAGGAATCTCTTTTCCCCAAGGAACTGTACGTATGGAAAAATAAACCCAATAAGTAAAAGAACAGATACCTCTTTTTTTTTTTTTTTTTTTTTGAGCTAGAGTCTCACTCTGTCACCCTGGCTGAGTGCAGTGGTGTCATTGTAGCTCACTGCAATTTCAAACTGCTGGGCTCAAACAATTCTCCTACCTCACCTTCCCAAGTAGAAGTGCCACAGTGCCTGGCTGATTTTTCTATTTTTAGTAGAGACGGAGTCTTGCTCTAGCTCAGGCTGGTCTCGAACTCCTGACCTTGAGTGATCCTCCTGCCTTGGCCTCCCAGAGTGCTAGGATTACAGGTGTGAGCCACCATTCCCGGCCAAGAACAGATACCTCAATCTCAAGAAGATATCACACGCACATGTCCCTGTAACTTTAAAATCTAATAATATCTAGCAGTATTATCTAATTGATTAAAAAGCCTGCCCAACCACTTTTAAAAAGTTAAAACCGTTTATATTCCACAAAACACATGAAAACATTCTATTTTTAAAAAAAATTAGGCCGGGCACGGTGGCTCACGCCTGTAATCCTAGCACTCTGGGAGGCCGAGGCGGGTGGATCGCTCAAGGTCAGGAGTTTGAGACCAGCCTGAGCAAGAGTGAGACCCCGTCTCTACTAAAAATAGAAAGAAATGATCTGGACAACTAAATATATATACATAGGAAAAATTAGCCAGGCATGGTGGCGCATGCCTGTAGTCCCAGCTACTCGGGAGGCTGAGGCAGGAGGATCGCTTGAGCCCAGGAGTTTGAGGTTGCTGTGAGCTAGGCTGAAGCCACGGCACTCACTCTAGCCTGGGCAACAAAGCGAGACTCTGTCTCAAAAGAAAAAAAAAAAAAATTAAAAAACATATGTAGAGTATAAAGAGTGAGAAAATTTCCCACCGCTATCCCCAGACTCATGTCATCCCCTAGAGATAACAATCTTAACATTTCGTATGTTCTGTCCAGATAAGCATTTCTAAACACATATGGATGAATAAATGTTAATATGTGTATGGGGAAGTCTTAGGGAGACGGCTGGATTTTTTAGCATAAAAGTCTAATTCTTTTAATGAGTATTAGTGTTTTTATTTGCCAGGACACACATATCAAACGTGATGCTAGCCAACCCCTGCGGCTCCTTTACGCCATATTGTGCGTGGCTGAGCTGGAATAGAACCAGAAGGCTCATGTGACTTGGCCTCCCTCTGTCTTCACTGGACAAGCCCCTCTGGTTTGTCCTCTTTCAATGACTAGTCAGTTCTTTTCCATGTTTTAATTTTCTATTCATGGATAAGTCTCTTCTCTTAATGTTTACTTAGTCATGCGTACTTTACAGCAGATGGGAGCATGAGATGTTCTGGAAGAGCAGGGCTTGAGGTTTCCTCTGAGAAAGGCCTTCAGTGGCAGCTAGCGTGTAGCTCAAAACAAGGTAGCCCAGGTGGAGCATGAACACTTTCGAGAAGCTGCTGAAATGATCTCAATCATCCTGTGGGCAATAGGAGTGCACTGATGGGAATTATGGACACTCTCACCCAGGTGACAACTGGCAAAATCCTTCAAGACAAAGAGCTCACAGCTCCTGAGCTCTTGTGGGTGAGTAAAAAGCAGGTAAAAAGATGGCATATAGTTTAAATTAAACCAGAAAAACAATACGCACCATTTAAAAAATTTGTTTTTATTACCTTTCCTCGGATGTCAGGTCAGAAACTGGGCAGTGCACTGAAGAAAGTGGTACTGTCATGCAAGTGTCACTTTCAGGTGGACAGCTCTCTGAGGCAGGTTTCGTACTAGCAAATTCAATAACATATTTCAACATGTCCGGGAGTGGGAACCGAGCTGGGCCCGAGCCGTACTTCACATACCTAGGAGGCAAAGACAGTGGTACTCTACCACCCAAGTCCCTCTTGTATTTTAGGATTTGCTAACAAAAGATCTGTTCATCATACGGAGTCAACAGAAAGGCTTAATCCTAAACGCTATACTCAAACAACCTATAGGGTAAAAATCCTCTAACTACAAAAGCAAAAAATGCCAACAATCTAAAGTTTTATATCCAGTAGGAAGCATTTCAAATGGGTTCCTAATCAAAGTCACGACAGTTATGTTTTCTCTTGATGTCATCTCACATTTAGGCTCTGGTCATAAATTGTTCCTTAAAGGAAAATAGATGTATTACTAGTACCCAATTCTGGTGAACTAGTACATAAAGGTTACTTCTTTGGTGTCCTTTAGATCAACTACTTTATAATAGAGAAATGAGAGCAAGAAAGCTGGAAATGGGAAATAGGTGTTGCTAAGGCCAGAGTTTAAGAAAATTGGCAAATCTTTCTTCTAAAGGGTCTGAAGTACCCTATTATTCATATACTCAATCAATGGCACAGGCCAGGCATAAATTATTGAAGATTTCTTTGAGATGAGTAAATAATAAATATCTTCAAGTATGTGACCAAAATAATATCTTCTTTCTTTCTTTGTTTTAGAGATGAAGGATCTCTGTATTGCTCAAGCTTACATATTTTCCCAGGAATATATACATAAAAAGGTATGTGTGGCCTTTAAAAAAAACAAAAACAAAAAAGCCAAAATTATATAAAATTTTAAAAGTCATTTATTTTAAAACAAAAGTAATATCATACTAAGAAAAATGCTCCTATACTCTATTTTGCAATCTAAATAATTCAGAATGCCTTGCTGGCTACTGGTAAATTGAGTATTTTTGAGCTATAAAACAACAGGTATGTTTGGTTCTATAAAAATAATTTAAAATTTCCAGGCTTACAAAGTATCAGTAGAACCTTTAAAGTAAAATAATGCCACACAACCTTTAAAGTAAAATAATGCCATCACTTCCAGGATAGTATTTGATGATTTAATCTTCAGTTTAAGTCCCTATTAAGACAAATGGATGACTGGTCACATTACTCCTAGGTAAGGTCTTCCTGAGACAGAGGGAAGCTGAAGTTGTGGTGGTTGGGGTAGGGTGCAGGGTCCAACTCGGGTCTGGTATGAAAATGCTGCCCCTCAGGGAAATTAATGACCTAGCCAGGACATGGGTGGAGGTGGGGTTGTGGTAGGAGGGAAATTGGTAAATAAATAAAAGGAGGAAGAGCCATTGACAATGTATGGGATTTCCTTCTTAAATGCTTAAATCAGTGCAATCTAGACTAGAAAGAAATTACGTTGACTGCCCCTAAGGAAATTGTAGGGTGACTCCACAGAAATAGTCAGTGTAAAACAATCAAGAAAAGCAAAGATTCCTTTGTAACAGAAAGGATTTTGTATGTATTGGAAAAATTAACACTTTTAATCAATTAGCCTTGTTCTAGATAGAATAGCATTATTTTTTACCTTTCCTGGACACTTCAAAAACTGCTTTTCCAAGACAAGTGAACTGGAGCATTGTGACAATTGTCCCTCTCTTGTTTGTGAAAAAGACAGCAAGGGGAGTAGAATACGTAAAAAGCTATAAAATCAGAACTTGGGTGCTCCTCGGTACACTGCCAGTAACTAACAAGGTGACTTTGGGTCACTAAGTCCCCTAGGACTACTATTTACCCATGGATAATATTATCTGATCTTAAAGACTGTTTCATACTCAGAAATGATTTTTTTTAGCTATAATACAAACTACCCTAGTTAATACTGAAACTGAATTAATTTTTAAATATAAACAAATGATCTGATTTTAACATTCTACTATCTTTTACACTGCTAAGCACAAAGGTATCCACAACTTACCGTTCAAGTTTTTGCTGCAGAACTTTTATTTCCTCCTTTAACTTTCGAATACATTCTCTCTTATTTCGAATAAGCTCCTTGCTCCTATACATGTACCTAAGCAAATGATAATGCCACAAACAGAATTTATATTTAAAAACATTAATGATTCAAAATTTCAGCAAGCTAGGGATACAAGGGAAGTTCCTCAATCAGACAAAGGGCATTTATAAAAAATGCACAGCTAGTAACACACCTAATAGTAAAAGACTGATACATTGGCCCTAAGATCAGAAACAAAGCAAGGATTTCCATTTCTATTAAATGTTTTACTGAAGGCACAGCCAATGCAATAAGGTAAGAAAATGAAATGAAAAGCATACAAGATAGTAAAGGAAGAAGTAAGGCTGCATTTTGGTTGAGAACGATATGATTGCCTATGTAAAAAAATCTCCAGAAATCTATAAAAACACATCAGAGCTAATAAGTCAGCTTATTAAGGTCAAAGAATACAAAGTCAACTTTTAAAAAAAAAGCCAGTTGTATTTCTATATACTTGCAAAGAACAAATGGAAAGTGAAATTTTTAAAAAGTCATTTATAACAACAAAAGCATAAGTTATAAATTTAATGAAATGTGTAAGACGTGTACACTAAAAATTAAAAAACATTGTTGAAATTAATGAAGACTTAAATAAATAGAGCTAAACAAGTTTCACCAATTGAAGAATTCAATATTATTAAGATGTCAATTCTGCCCAAATTCATCTATAGGTTCAACACAATCCCAATCAAAATCCCAATAGCCATGTGGTAAAAAATGACAAGCTGATAAAATTTACACAGAAAATGCAAAGCACTAGAATAACCAAAACAATTTTTTTTTTTTTTGAGACATAGTCTCACTCTATTGCCTGGGCTAGAGTGCAGTGGTGTCATCATAGCTCACTACAACATCAAACTCCTGGGCTCAAGTGATCCTCCTGCCTCAGCCTCCTGAGTAGCTGGAACTACAGCTGATTGCCACCACACATGACTAATTTTTCCATTTTTTGTTGAGCCGAGGTCTTGATCTTGCTCAGGCTGGTCTTGAACACTTGGGGTCAAGCGATCCTCCTGCCTCGGCCTCCCAGAGTGCTAGGATTATAGGCATGAGCCACCATGCCTGGCCAAAGCAAAATCATTTTGAAAAAGAATAAAGTTAAAGGAGTCATACTATCTGATGTCAAGATTTACAATAAAGCCTCAGTAATAAAGACAATGTGGCACTGGCATAAGATTAGCTAACAGACAGAATAGAAACTCCAGAAACAGATCCACAAATATACATTCAATTAATTTTTGACAAAAGTGCCAAGGTAACTCAACAGGGGAAAGGAGAATCTTTCCAACAAATGGTGCTGGAACAACTGGACATTCACATGCCTTCCTCCTTCTCCTAGAAAACCCCTTATCTCATACTATATATAAACTTTAAATGAGCTACAGATCTAATATAAGTGCTAAAACTAATAAGTTTCTAGAAAAAAAACCATAAGAAAATCTTTGACACAGACTTTGGGTTAGCAAAAATTTCTTTGTGTTCTTTAGAACACAAAATGTACAAATTATAAAAGAGAAACTGATATACTAAACTTCAACAAACCTACAAACTTCTGCTCTTCTAAAGACACTGGTAAGAAAACAGAACAGACAAGCACAGACAGAAATGTTTGGATTTGTATCTAAACTACATAAAGAGCTCTTACAACTCAGCGTTAAAAACAACCAATCCAATTAAAGAGTGGACAAAAGATTTGAACAGATATTTCACCAAAGAAAATACACAAATGACCATTAGTTAAGCACATGAAAAGATGTTCAACATTATCAGTTATCAGGAAAATATAAATCAAAAGAAAAGTAAGAAATTCCTACACACCCATTAGGATGGCTAAAATTAAAAAGACGTAATTTCAAGCATTGGCAAGGATGTAGAGCGAATGGAGCTCTCATACACAGCTGTGGGAATGAAAAATTACATATATTCACTTTAGAAAACAGTTCCTAAATTTCTTATAACATTAAACATATACTTTCATACAACCCAGCAATTCCACTCCTAGGTATTCTACCCAAGAGAACTAAAAAAACTACACCAAGTCTTCTATGTAAATGTTCATGGCAGTTGCATTCATAACAGCCTAAAACTGGATAGGTCTGAAATATACACCAACTGGTAAATGGAAAAAATATTGTGGTACATATGTACGATAGACTACTACTCAACAATAAAAAGGAACAAACTACTGATACATGCAAAAACATGAGTCAATCCCAAAAACATTACTCTAAGGGAAAGAACATAGTCACAACAGGATACATACTAAATATTAATGTCACTAATATGACATTCTAAAAATGTCAAAATTATAGGGTCAGAAAACAAGTAAGTGGTTGCCAGGGCCTGGCAGGTGGGAGAAAGAGACTGACTGCAAAGGGGCAAAGAAAACCTTTTGGGCGATGGAAATGTTCCATATCTCGACTGTGATGGCGGTTACTTGACTGTACATTTGTCAAAACTCATTAGTTACAAATGGTGATCTTTTTGGGTAAACTACACTTCAGTAAGCCAGACTTTAAAAAGGGTAAAATTCTATAATGTACGCCTATCTAGGACTCCCCGAGCCCCTCACCATCCCAAGGAATACAGATAGTATTCAGATTAGAAAGAAATACACTGTGTGTGTACTGTACCTACTACTGTTCCCAGAGCAGCAGGGCTTTCACCTAAAGCCTTGCTATTCAAATTGTTGTCCAGAGATTAGAAGCATCATTAGCATCATCCTGGGAGTATCTAGAAATGCAAACTCTTGGGCTCCAACCTGTATCCACTGAATTCAAATTTGCATATTATCGAGACTTCCCGGTGATTCCTATGCACAATATACTTACTGCATGCTCATTTCTACTGTTGCAATGCATCAGGAAGAAAATCAACCAAGAACTCACCTGTCCATATAAATAATCTGAGGAAATTCCAGCTTATTGTGAATTTTCTCTGGCTGCCCAAGGGACTGATTGAACTCAAATCTTGAGAGTTCAAAGGTCAACACTGGAGGTAGCTTTGTAAACCAACGCTATTGTCAGGAGCAACAATGTGGGAGCAAGAAAAATTAATTTTAGGAAATAACAATAGTCAGATTTAAAATATCCCTCATCGAACTTCATTCTTTTGGTATGGAACCTATCCTATATTCAAATCAAACTCATGGAAGAACATTTTTTATCCCAAATACTAAAGAAAATGAACACTTAGGATCACACTCTCTTAGAGGACTCAGTATTCAAAACCTGAAGGAACAGCTGGCCTAACCAAACAATGAGAAATTATCATCACATAACTAATCACATAATTATCAGCACATAACTAAGGAGACAACATTCTCCACAGAACAGCCAAAAAAGACTAATATGTGTACTTATATTATGTACTCTTTACACTCTATTAACCATAATCCCCTTTATGTCTAAAAAGGAACCTTGAAATAGGCTCATGATTTTATAATTTCTCAAGTTTCTGACAAAAATCCCTGAATTCCAAGAATTTACAGATGCCTCGTGATGAAGCCAGTCAAATCAACCTACAATGTAATATGACCTTGACTTCAAAAAAGAAAATCACAGGCTTATTAAAAAAAAGATTTCAACAGTCATTGATTGTAGATGAAGAAAAGCTAAACCAGGAAAGGCATTTCTGTTCAATTCACCTGTACACCAGAGGTTCCCATGAAGGGCTTTTTTAAATGTTCCCTTACCAAAGGTGCCAACAGTGTTTTCTTCAGACACCCCATCGGCACAACAAGGTGAATTCAGATAGCCTGTATGACTACATCAGGACTAACTCTAAATGAGCACGATGATTTTGTTTTTGTTTTATTTTTATAAAGAGTTCCCATCCTTGAATATAGGTCTCCAGAAGTCCAAGTAGCTAGTGAACATTCCCTCTCTCATAAGAGAATGCATTAGGTCTGCATGGATGGTATAGATGATATGCTTCCCATTAGGAATTAGCTCTTGCCTTGAAAAGCCAGAGAAACAGTAGCTCTCTCTGAGTTCCAACACTGCTCTACAGATAATACACTTCCACAAGGCTCATATTAGGCTCCCTATTTTAATTCAAGAAAGCTCTACTTTCTCCTATAAAAATTACTCAGTTGGACTCTTAGAAAAGCCACAATTTTGTCTCAAAATGTACGATGAAAGGAGAACAATCCAAACTGTGTAGTGTTAACAATTAAGCTATAAATGCTACTCCCTAATTCTTAACCCAACTGGAATTTTGAGATATTAATTACCCTTGCTCTCCCTCTAACTTCCCCCTTCTTTCCAACCAACAAAAAGTAAATAAACAAATGAATGAAAATTAAATTTAAAAAATGTTAAAAGCAAAGGCAGAATTGACAATTGAGAATGGCAAATACTATGACAGGGAAAATATTCTAAATGGCATACCATAGGAGTTAATCACTGTACTTTTACCCTCCGAAAATATGGAGGCAGTGGGTTCTCCCTACTCAGGTACAGGTAGGCTTCAACAGAAAGAGAGAAACTTAATCATACTTAAAACATCAGAAGCAGCATACAACCTTTACATGATTGACTCAAATTCATAATCTTAGTAAAGGGTTTATTTATCAAAGTACTAAAACTCACTGACTCACACCAACTGATGAGAGACTTAAGACAAATTCAAGTTCTTTTTTCAGTGTAAAGTTACTTAATATGTGATGGGAAATGAATCTGCCTAAAAGCTCAGTCCTTAACTGGTTTTGTCATTGGCACAGCCAATAAAAGTACGTGTCTTACCTCTTGTCCATACTTCACCGAATGATCGGAGGGAAGAAGCTCAATGTCACCCTCTACCATGGCCCCTTCCAAACATTCGTCTAAGTTGTGATAACCATTTACCTGAAGAGGATACTGGCCAAAGGTCTCGTTGTTACAGAAGGGCTTTCCTAGGCAAAGAGAGAGACTGATTTTTAAAGACATCACTACAACCATCTAAAAGCCTATTTTCTGGCACTACAGAGAAAATAATCTTCTTAAATTCAGCAGCTTCCTGAGAACTGGTTAGAAATGCACTTAAGCCTATATGGCAACCTCTAATGAGCCAGTGGACCCAAGCATTGACTGTCAACAACCGCTAATACTGCAAAAAGATTGTCAGACATTATGAGCCTCCTGATCAAAGACCTTCCCACCACCTGTGACTTGGTTTTGCCAAAAAGAAAAAAAGAAAAAGCCTTACCTGAATCTAGTCAAATTTCTAGTTCCAACTACCAATTTACAAGAAGAGGAGTAGAGGGGAATATGCTTAAATATGTATTGTGGGAGTGCAAGCAAAAAAATTTCAGACTGTGGGAAATATTAATACCATAGAACAAAAACCCAGTTTCTCCAAAAAATACATTTCAAGGAAAGAAGGATGGAGGAGTCTCTACAGATATCCAAGAGACTTAAAAGATGTATCAACTAGTCATAAATGAATCACATTTGGATCCTTACTAAAACAAACTGTAAAAATAAATTCTCTCTTTTTAAAATTATGTAAGCAAATTGGAAATTTGAACACTGATTAGATATTTTCAAATGCTATTTTTTGGAGTGGTAGCAGTACTGAGTTGTGTTTTACAAAGAATATCAGAGGGTTACCAGTAGATAGGGGTGAGGCAGGGAATTACTGACTGTGGACTAATGGTTGCTGGGTTCACAAGTTTTATTTTTTTGTTTTTGAGACAGGGTCTTACTCTGTCACTCAGGCTAGAGGGCAGTGGCATCATCATAACTCACTGCAACCTCAAACTACTGGGCTCAAGCCATGCTCCTGCCTCAGCCTACCAAATAGCTGGGACTATAGGCGTGCGCCACCACGCCCAGCTAATTTTTCTATTTTTTGTAGAGACAGGGTCTAGCTCTTGCTCAGGATGGTCTCCAACTCCTGAGCTCAAGCAATCCTCCCATCTTGATCTCCCAGAGTACTAGGATTATAGGTGTGAGCCACCGCACCCAGCCAATGGGGGTTTTTATATTGCTTTTTTTGTATGTGGTCAAAATTCTCCATAGTTAAAAAAAAGAATGTGTCCAGTATGCAGCTTAGATAAATCTCTAGAGTAGACAAGCATTTCTGGCAGTCTAACTCAATAAAACCTTTTGAGATTAGATATTACATCAGAAACAACAACACAGAGAAAACTGAGTGACATTACTATGTGCCTGACATTAATGTCAGATGTGGGCTATGTATATATTATACAATTTTATATGACAACTAAAAGATCATGTACATTTCACAGATGAAGAGACTGAGGATCCTAGGGCTCACACAGCTTGTCCACGGTTAAACAAATACTAAGAGGCAAAACCAAAATTCAGACGTGGGCTCGTCTGACTCTCAAGCTATTCATTATACTGCTTCCTAAAAGGGACACAGTAATAAAGAGATGGTCACAGGTCTCGAATTAACATTCAGAGCAGAGAATTTACCTTCACGAACCCCTTCGGTCAGGAAAGTACCATAGAACAGCTGCACCATTGGATTTTCAGATTTGTTCCTGGGATTGCTGCTTTTAAGAAAGGGAGACAATTCTGGATCATCTGGATAAGACATACACTACACAAAATCAAAGTATCATCCAAAAGCAATAATAGTGCATTTTCATCAACTCCCAAAGAGCCAGGTATGGTTTAAAGCAGATTAGTTGAGTTCAAACATTTGGTGAACAAGTATATGCCTGGCATTGGGCTAAACTCTCTGAAGACACAAAGACAATAAGGCATGATCCCCGGAGCTTAAAGTCTAATAGTCTAAAAGTCCTTCAGATAGGAGTCACGCATGCAGACAAGCACATGTATTTGCATGCATTCAATATATACATCTATATCCAACAACAGACGTATATAGGGTGTAGAAATAGTATAGAGGTAAGAATGGACTCTCTTGTGCAGTTTTACAAATAAATACGAAAAAGTTTTCTCAGTGGCACAAAAGAAATGAAAATAGTTATTTTTTTACTAGCCCATCTTAAATTATTATTAAGTTAGCTGCTATCTACAAAGCCATTTGATGATATATTTAATATAATTCTTCTACCTAGAATTAAAACTATTTAGAAAACAAACTTCTCAGCATCTGTATTAGGCAAAGCATATATGTATTCTTTGCCCTAAATTTCACTTTTATTAGTGACTGAAATGATTAAACCCTATTCTGGATACATTCTAAGTAGACTTCAAAAGTGGTCTTAGATTCAATTTAATGTATCTATATTATACCACCATGTTCACATCTAGGGTTGATTTGATTGTTTAAAAAAACATTTTACAGCACATGGTATGCCTTCAACAAAGTTAACAGTTATGGCCCTTTTAATTAAAAAGTTGCAGGTTAAGGTGATCAGCTACGTCCTCAGAGAGGGAATCCAAAGGCAATGGGGATACACAATGAGGAATAACTTGGTGGTTACCCCATAAGGTTTGGTAAAAAGCAGCAATTTCTGCTTGAGAAGACTTAACTTTCCCCCATGTCATAATTCTCACTGGCCCGCTGTGAGTCGGAAGGATGTACAAACAAACCCTCAACACTCACTTAACATTAACAGCTAGCTGGAATGCGTCTTCTAGCCAATCCAGGAGCTTGTGTGTGAATTCACTCACATCTTGCTATAAGAGAGGCACAAATTGCATAAGAGTTAGAACCAACACTATACTTAGGGAAATGAAAATTTGCCCTTATCCCACCAATGAAATAGGATTTGACTATGAAAGTTATTTCTTTTTTAGGGCCAAATATGAAGACACTGGAACACTGGAATCCAGCTAGTAGAGAAAAAATAGAAGGTGCATTAGGCAACCTCTGACTAAGTTGTGGCTAGAAGGAAATTGGAACTCTACCACTTCCAGCTACATCTATTTGTGACAGAGAAAGAAAAACAAACAAACAAAATCTTCCAATTAAGCCTTTTGAAAAAAAGGCCCAAAAAACAGACTGTAGTTTTCTAGAATATGAGATCTGAATAGAGAAAGAAAACTTTTATGAAATGTTTTGAGAATTTTGTAGAACTATAGGTCCTTTAGATAGAGAAAAAGATTTTTAAATTTATATAAGTAAGAAGCTGATATAATAGTGACTGCTTTCTAATAGGAGGTAGAGAAAGGAAAGTATTGAAGTCTAGAACAGAAAGATTGCTCAGAAAAGCTGCTGAACTCGGGTTTAATTTTAAAAACAGTATTTCCATCTGGGCCATCCCAAGACAAAGGTGCAGACAAAGAACTACTTTTCTTGGTGACACTTTGCTATGGCTCATTGAGATATTTTCCAGTCTCCTTCCTCCTACTGCAACAGCCCCTGTAAAAGTCTACTATCCTTTGCACTATTTCTTCTTCTCTTTAGAACTGCCAGTCCCAGTGCAACACACACACTCTCTCTCTTATGAACGCACGGGCTCCCTCTCTCACCACCTGTTCTGCAGGCAAAATAAAAGGCAAAAACAGGCACTGTCCACAGTCCTGCTGAGTCACGTTCACCCCTTGTTACACAGCTGAAACAAAGCACTGTCACAGTCATGTTAATAAGGCATGACTTCAAACTCTACAGAGTTGGGAGAAAACAAGAGAAGAACGAAGTTTCTTTTATACCTGCTGTTCCTCAGATGACCGGAATGCTCCCTTTAACAGATCCAGGGCTGCTGAAGGGTCCACAAATTTTCGATTTGATCCCATCATGAGAGCAAACAAATACTGAAGCTCTTGCATAAACATGATATTTCTCTTGTCCTATAGAAAGCATAGCACTCACTCTTACTTGGAAAATCAGAACGTTTAAAGGGAAAAACCGTCAGTAATTACACCTTAATTTATATATATCTAGGTCTATGTCAGAGACTGGTCTCAAACTATGTTGTAGGGACTCTGATAAGGAATGTAGAGGGTTACTCTAAACTGCAGAATAACTATGTAGGAGCCACAGAGATAATATTGATGGAAAAACAGAAATGTCCACTTTCTGAAACTGCTGCCTGTGCTCCAGTGAGGAAGACGCACTGCGCACCAAGGTGATACCCTGGGAAGGGTTAGATCCTGGGAGGAGGCCATGTCCTTTAACAAAAACAGACTCAAACCTCTTCTAAGAAGATCCAGGCCTCTGGCCCTCTTCTGCCTGACTTGGCCAAGCAGCTAAGGAAGAGTGAAGGACACCACAAACAGAAACAGGTATTCAGACTCTCCCCACCTGCACTTTCTTGGAAGTATTTTTCTAATTTTGCAAACCCTTATTTCTTGTCACAAAGGAAAAAGAGCCATATACAATTGAAAAGAAAAAAGAGCACAAGCCAAAGAGTATCACAGTTATCAGCTTTAGTCAAAAATTTAGAAGTCTTTGGGATACAAGGAACCAACACTGAAGAAATTCCTCAACACCAACTTACCGTGTGACTTCGACAATTTTCAAGGACATTTTGTGGCAGACTGTAGCTGAGAACAAGTCTTCGAAATTCAGGCAACTGAAAGAGGGACTGAAAAGAAAGAAAGAAATGGATTCATAGCCTTTCTTTCAAAATAACTGCACTTAAAAAAAAAATTTCTTTCACTTTAAATATTTTCTTTCGGGCCGGGCGTGGTGGCTCATGCCTGT